TTACCTGCTTGAGTCCTCCGTCCCCATTAGGTGGCAAACTGAGAGGGGCAGAGTTCGGCCACCGTGACAGATGCTGCCGAGAGGGGACATTTTTACTTCCCTTGCCCCTCCCTCCCCACAGCTCTCCATAACCCCCAGCACTTCCCTAAGCAGCTCTAAGCTATCCCCAGGGGAAACAGCAGGCACTTGAGAATAAGAGCTCCCCACTTGCTGGCTGTTTCTCCAGCTACAAGTCATTGTACTTGTCTGAGACTCAATTTCATCATCTGTAAAATGGGGGTTAAAATACCTGTCCTGCCTACCTCACAGAATTATTGCAGAAATCAAGGGAGGTGATGCATAGGAAAGTAGTTGGATCTGGTAAAAGACTATCAACATGTGCCAGGTATTGTTATTAAATATTTCTGGGGGCCGAGTGCAGTGGCTCATGCCTGTGGTCCCAGCACTTTGGGAGGCCGAGGTGGACGGATCACCTGAGGTCAGAAGCTCAAGACCATCCTGGCCTACAGGGTGAAACCCCGTCTCTACTAAGAATACAAAAAATAGCCGGGTGTGGTGGTGTGTGCCTGTAATCCCAGCTACTTGGGAGGCTGAGGCAGGAGAATCACTTGAACCCAGGAGGTGGAGGTTGCAGTGAGCCCAGATTACGCCACTGCACTCCGGCCTGGGGGATGGAGTGAGACTGTGTCTCAAAAATAAAAATAAAAATAAATTTCTGGGTTTTCTTTTAACTGACCAACACTATATCCATTTTAAAGATAGACTGATCATCCTGGAGAAACTTGACCCTGTGTTGCTCCCGTGACTTTTTGCCTGGATCTCAGCCCCCAACCACTTGTCTCTCCCTCCTGTCCATTAGCAAAGGAGAGCCCAGGGCTTCCACCAGGCCTTCCACCTGCCCCACCCTACCTGCTCTGATCATATTTAAGCATTCTTCAGGCACCCGCTGCAAGGGCACCTCTCCTGGGGAAATACCCCGGATCCCCAACAGAGTTGGAGTCTCCTGCTCTGGGCCTCTGGGCTCACACCTCCTGGCAGCTCTTATCAGGCTGCTTGGTAATTGTTTGTTTTTCCAACACTGTTTCACAATTACTGTGCAATTTACAAACTTGACAATTCAGTGTGATCCAGCTACTGCAGAGGTGCCACCCAGGTGCTGATTCCTGCAGGGCCAGCCCTTCTAAGGAAGAAAGTACCACCCCCAGCCCTTACTTCTGCCCACCCCCACCCCAGGGCCTACACCAGAACCTGGCTGGTAAATGTTTATCGACTGAAGGAACGCGTGAATGAGGGATGGAGTGGAGGCTCTGGGAACAAGACAGAGGGGAAGAGATGCTTCTTGTTAACATCTCTTCATAAAAGTGAGTGAGTTCCTACATCCAGCTGGTGTCTGAATTGGGGCCAATCATAAAACCAGGAGGCCCCTGAGGCTGAGGGCAGCTGGCTGGCCAGTGGGCTTTATAAGGCGGTTTTATGGACTCAGCTGAGATGTGGTGATGAGAAGCCAAACTTTAAACATCCTCTTAAAGTTCGTTTTCACTCCCCCAGGGCTTCTAGCTGAACAAGATTGAGGAGAAGGCCTTTTGAGGCACCAGTGGAGGGATGATGAGATAGCACCATCCACATGGAGGAAAAGGAAGTAGGCGGGACTTGCAGCAGGAGGGGTGCAAGTTAGGCACGAGGAAGGACTTCCTTCTGGGCTTGGGATGCAGCAGGCAGTTATGTGGGGAGGGGAAGAGATAGGCTGACTTCTTCCCCCTATTATTCGGCCACCTAATGGGATCATGTTCACTTCCTGCAGCCTCCCCTGGTCTATGTTTTTTTGTTTTTTTGGGGGGTTTTGTTGTTGTTGTTGTTGTTGTTGCTGTTGTTTTGAGATGGAGTCTTGCTCTGTCGCCCAGTCTGGAGGGCAGTGGTGCAATCTCGGCTCACTGCAATCTCCGCCTCCCAGGTTCCAGCGATTCTCCTGCCTCAGCCTCTGGAGTAGCTGGGACTACAGGCGAACACCACCACACCCGGCTAATTTTTGTACTTTTAGTAGAGACAGGGTTTCACCATATTGGTCAGGCTGGTCTTGAACTCCTGACCTTGTGATCCGCCCACCTCAGCCTCCCAAAGTGCTGGGATTACAGGCATGAGCCACCGCGCCCGGCCTGGTCTGTGTTTTGAGAGGGCCACCACCTCTGCTCCCCGTCTCAACCTGCTCTCTCCTGACTTCTTTCCTGTTCCTGGCCAGGTAGAATCTCCTGAAGGAAGGAGAAGGGAAGGAAGAGCTGAGGGCAGTACCATGATCTGCTCAGGAGCTGGAAGCCCAAAGCTGACCCAGGCCAGCCAGGCCTGTGAGTCCAGGGTCCCATGGTTAAGATGTGAAGATTTTTTCTCCAGCTTCCCTACTTGTGCCGTGTGTGGAAAGGAGAAAAGCAACCAGCCTAAGGAACTGAAGAAAGTGACAAGAAGAGAGTTGGAGCTGAAAAAGGTCCAAGAGATAAGAAGAAAGAAAAAATCAAGAAAGAAAAAGTGAAAAAGAAATGCAAGAGGGAATTAACATACACAGGGTGCAGACATTAACATCCATGGGGCCTCTGAGGCGGATCTCAGCAATCCTCGCCACCCTTCCAGGGAGTGTTACTATTTTAAGGATGGTGTGCTGGGAGCAGCGGCTCATGCCTGTAATCCCAGCACTTTGGGAGGCCGAGGCGTGCGGATCCCTTGAGGCCAGGAGTTCGAGACCAGCCTGGCCAACGTGGTGAAACCCCATCTCTATTAAAAATATAAAATTAGTTGGGCTTGGTGGCACGTGCTTGTAGTCCCAGCTAGTTGGGAGGCTGAGGCAGAGAATGGCTTGAACCCGGGAGGTGGAGATTGCAGTGAGCCGAGATTGTGACACCGCACTCCAGCCTGGGCGACAGAGGAAGATAGTCTCAAAAAAAAAAAAAACAAATGGGGAACCCTGGCTCAGCAGTCTCACATGGCTTGCCTGAGGGTTCCCCAGCTGGTGAAAGGGGCAGCTGAGCCTTGGACCCAGCACCATCGGATTCCAGCCCAGAGCAGGTTCTAGGTCTTGGAAAACACAGTTTTCACGCACCCAGGTGCAGAAGCCTGGCTTGGTTCTATCTTCTGTGAGCTCTAATAGGCTGGGATGCTTCCAACCCCTGCGATTTTGCAGCTGGCCTGTAGCCTCCAGATCCCCCTGGGCTGGCCTGTGTCTGCTCTCTGAGCCTGGGCTTGTGGCTGTCCTGCCTGCTGGGAGGATTGATGGCTCTGCTCTGGGGAATTGAGAAGTTGGAACCCAATTAAAAGTTTTTCAACTCAGGCCAGAGACCTTGGCTACAGAGAGGATGCCCTTTGCCTTGGAAGCCTCTAGTTCAAGCAGGATTCAGCCCCTGGGTTCACAGATCCTGTCTGCTGAGAGTGGTCAAAACCACTCTGCACTCTCCTTGTGGCCTGCTCCCCACAGGGCCTTTGACCAGAGAGACCAGGGACGGGAACCTCGTCTGTCTATACACAACTGTATGTGTTGGGTGCTGCCCCTCCTCCTCCCTGGACTTGGCCTCAGGGGTCAGCATGACCAAGCCCCTTCCTTTTTTTTTTTTTTTTTTTTGATACAGAGTTTTGCTCTTCTTGCCCAGGCTAGAGTACAATGGCACGATCTTGGCTCACTGCAACCTCCGCCTCCCAGGTTCAAGTGATTCTTCTGCCTCAGCCTCCCAAGTAGTAGCTGAGACTACAGGTGTGCACCACCACACCCAGCTAATTTTGTATTTTAGTAGAGACAGGGTTTCACCATGTTGGTCAGGCTGGTCTTGAACTCTTGACCTCAAGTGATCCGCCTGCCTCGGCCTTCCAAAGTGCTGAGATTAGAGGCGTGAGCCACCGCGCCCAGCCAAAGCATCATCAACAGCCTTCCCATCAGGGAATTGAACCTGGTCTCCCGCGTGACAGGCGGGAGTACTCACCACTATACTAACAAGAACCGCCTATCCAGGCCCTTCTTGATTCAGGGCAGGGGAAGGGGAAAGAGGACAGGGAAAGAACATTGAGCACCTAGCATGTGCCAGGGCTTTCCATGCGTTAGCACATTTAATCCTCAAGCAACCCCACAGGGCGGGTTATGATCTTCCCTTTATAAGTGACAGGCATGAAGCTCAGAGAGGTTAAAGACCTCACAGAGGCCCACACAGCCGCTCAGCGCTGGAGCAGCTAGACAAACTCGGGTCTGCTGAACTGCCAGCCCTGTTCTCTCGCTCGGTGAAATGGGACTTGCCCATCCCTCCAGAACTTCTCAGGCACACTCCATGTGTGCGCGTGGTCTCTAGGGGCCCAGGCCTCCCAATGCTAACAAACACCCTTCAGACGTTTCCGGATACTTCCCACCCCAGCTCCAGGGACCTTGGGAAAACTGGGTTGCCTTTGAAGGGGCCCCCCAGACCCATCAGCATCTCTACTATTTCACACTTTCCCTTCAGGATCATCAGATGAGGAACAGCTGGGCCTGCAGATTTATTAGCGTTTTGCAAGTGATTCCATCCGCTCTTCTAGTCCCAACTAAGCCCTGCCCCCGCTCCTATTAGAAGCCCCTGGAAAGCAAAGGGGTTCTTTTGTCAGTGCCCCAAGCCCACTTAGCCGGTGTGACTTTTGCCTCTCCCACTCCTCACAGCAATTGGGAGCCAGTTATATATCTCCCCAGAAACCAGGGACCAAGAGAAAAAAAGGAAGAAAGAAAGAAAAGGAAGGAAAGAAGGCAAGGCAAGGCAAGGCACAGTGGCTCATGCCTGTAATTCTAGCACTTTGGAGGGCCAAGGCAGGCAGATCACCTGAGGTCAAGGGTTCAAGACCAGCCTGGGCAACATGGTGAAACCTTGTCTCTACTAATAATACAAAAATTAGCCGAACATGGTGGCGGGTGCCTGTAATCCCAGCTACTTGGGAGGCTGAGGCAGGAGAATCGCTTGAGCCCGAGAGGTGGAGGTTGTAGTGAGCCAAGATCGTGCCACTGTACTCCAGCCTGGGCGACAGAGCGAGACTCCATCTCAAAAAAAGAAAAAAAGAAGAAAAAGGTTAGTTTTATCTTCCCTTTCAGTAAACAAAGTATAGGAAACCTCTGGCTGGAGGGACAGAAGACCCAGATTTTCTTCCTGGTTCTACCAGCTGTGGGTCTGGAGGCAAGTCATGAAATCTCTCAAGGCCTCAGTTTCCATCTGTGAAATGGGGGATGGCGTCTACCCTGAGTGCCTCGCAGCGGGGATGTGAGTATCAAGGCCAGCACTTTGTACTTTCCAAAGGCCTGTCCCCGTCCTCTCTTCCTCACCGTCCTGCACACAGAAACGTCAGGTGCATGTGCTAACATGAGATGGGTCATCTAGATCTAACCTAGATGACCCACCCTCATACACACTGCAGATAGGGAGTTTTCCCACTAACGAGCCTTCAGAAACATTGAGTTTTTTCCTCTTTGTTTTTCAGGGGACACCCACTCACCTACACCTGTGTGATGTGCATGTGTGGGAGCTTGTGACGGTCACACAGTCATGACATGAAGAGAGCCATGGGAAGGAGGCACAGGAAGTGGTTGGTGCTGGGGCACAATATGACATTCAGCACCAAACAAGGCACAAGAGGTTCCTGGCCACCCGTGTGATCAGAGTTCCACTGTGTGACCCGTTGTCACAGGTGCCACCTACAAGGGCCAGGTAAAGCCTTCATGGAGTTGGGCAGAGGCACGGACCGATGGTGATAATTTAATAATAAATCACTATTAATTATTTTAATTGTTAAAGTATATTAATATTTGGTTAACTATGAAACTACTAATGATGACACTTATGAATCAATGGCTTGGGATGATTGTGACGGTCACCGCAATAATGCTACACTGAAGGAATTTTTGTGTGCCAGTAGACTAATTAGAAAGCATTTGAGGTATGTAATTGTGATTGCAGGACTGATGTATAGTGGAAAACAAAAAATAAGCATGCAGGTGTCAAAATGCCGACTGTTAGCCTTGATCTCCATGCTTGGCTGAAGGACTGTCTGTCACAAAGTGGCTTTGTACAGCAATGAACCGGCCTCCAGAGCCCTCACAGCTGAGGGCCGTAGACAGTATGGACCTGCAGGAGGGAGCCTTGAGAGGGACGCTGAGAGAGGCTGGATGCAGCACCTCCGGGGAGCAAGGCCAGAGGGACAAACCAGCAGAGGGTGGCGCGATGAGGGACAGGGGTGAGAAGCACGCAGAGAGTAGGCAGCAGAAAAGCCCTCATGAGCCGGTGCCAATCACAAAGCCAGGCATTGCAGTATAACTACCAGGTATTGAAGAAATAGAAATAGGGTCTCTAGGTCCCTGGCAACATGGGCAGAGAGAGAAAATAGAAACTGACGCCATGGAGAGGCAATTGAGCCCAAATGAGCATGCAGGCTCACCTACCCCTGCCGGGAGCAGCAGGGATGGGCCACGAGAACCAGAAAGACAACCATGCTGCACACCTGTAATTAGGCAAAATGCTTACTTTAGTCGTTTGATAAAGTTGTAGTTGATTTTTCCTGTGATTTGGCTATTTACCAGGAATTTGGTAATTTCTTTGTTTTAAAGATGCCCCTGAAGAACCTCAAGCAGGATGGATCTGCCTAAACTTCCACGTGTCCAGGCAGAACCATTCACATGGTGGAGTCCAGAAAGGGACATCCTGCCCAGTTGATCCTGACCACCTTGCTGCATTCAGAACTCCCCATAGTGATGAGCAGCCCACTTTATAAAGACTAGGAATAAGCCCCACTGTCTCCTGTACTGGGCAGAGAAGCAGGGCCACCTTACAGAATTGGATCAGCTGCTCCAGCCAAGAAAGAGCTCACCACATCTGTCCCTGAGCCAAGAGATCAGTCTGGAGCAGTGGCCTCCACACTCCCACACTGGAGGAGGCTTCCTGACGGAGGCTGGCGGCCTTCACGAGTTGTTTCAGTCTGCTTTGAATTCTGCAAAGATCCAGTATGTCCAGGCCCTTAATCAACTACAATGGTAGTCACCTTGAATGTAAGGGGAGCTGCAGTTAGACTGGATTGGAAGTAAAAGAGCATTTTCAAATACTCAGGCATTTCCTTATGGGGAAGGGGTTGTGGGGAGGGGTTCACACTCTTCTTGGCTTGAATCCCCAGAAACCTAATGGAAGGCCTAACGCCGTCTTTTTTTTTTTTTTTTTTTTTTTTTTTCTGAGACGGAGTCTGGCTCTGTCACCCAGGCTGGAATGCAGTGGCCGGATCTCAGCTCACTGCAAGCTCCGCCTCCCAGGTTACGCCATTCTCCTGCCTCAGCCTCCCTAGTAGCTGGGACTACAGGCGCCGCCACCTCGCCCGGCTAGTTTTTTGTATTTTTTAGTAGAGACGGGGTTTCACCGTGTTAGCCAGGATGGTCTCGATCTCCTGACCTCGTGATCCGCCCGTCTCGGCCTCCCAAAGCGCTGGGATTACAGGCTTGAGCCACCGCGCCCGGCCCCTAACGCCGTCTTTTTGAAATCGTGCTGACCACATGGTGTTGGGAAGAAGTTACATTAAAGAGTTAGCTAGTCTGTGTTATAAAATAGGAAAATTCCAGCAACCCCAAACTCTCACAGTGCCCGAGTTCCGGCTCCCACAAAGCCTAAGCATGGCACCCTCCTAGCAGGCAGCCTGCTGTGGGGATGGACACACAGTAGGTCTCACAAGCAGCTGTACCTTTACGTCTCGCTCCTGCTGTGGGCCAAAAACACTTAAGATTATTATAACCGGTCGAGTCTCACTTGCAGATTTGTTTAACCTCACACCATGTTGGATATGAATTCCTCACTCAAAATAACGGTCACTCATTTTCCCCTGCCTTGAAACAACAGGCACTTCATTCGCCCCAGCTGGCAGCGCCCTGCAGACTGGCTAACTGGCTCTCATGAGCTGAAACGTGCTGCGGCTTGTTCCTGCTCCATCTCTCCTCCTTCTCAGCTTTTCTACAAGCCACATGCAAAAATACGGCCCATTACTCCATTATCATATTTCGTATGAAATTAGGTATTGCAGGTCTCATGTCATTCAATTAGCTTGGCACAGGCTGAGGGCATGACTCAGAGGCACTCCCAGTTTCACCTCTTCCCAGTCATGGGCTCCTCCTTTATCCTGACCCCAGGGAGACCCTGTTGTGCCAAGACATCCTTCTTCTTCCTGAGGCTTTGGTCAAAGGACACTCTTCGGCCCCTTTGATCCAGAACAAAGGACCTTTTCTGATCAGGCTCAGTTCCACTCCCTTGAGCCTCAACTCTCTGTGTCTCCTACAAGCACCCAGATGAATGCCCTCCACTTGCCTCCCTTATGGTGAGGCCCACAGCCCTGCAAACCAGCCCTGTGCCTACCCTGGCCCTGGCCACTTTCTCCTTCTTCTCCCTGTCACCAGACTAGTGGTTTCTCTAAAAAGCCTCAGCCCTCCAGGCTGCAGTGTCAGCAGCTCTGGGTGGCCCAGGACATACTTCCTCCAGGTACACACAAGTGTGCTGAAAATCCTGGTTCCACCCACACATCCTGGCCTGGTAGCCTCCCCCGTTCCACTTTGCAGCCTTCACATTCTCAACGCCCACATGTACATTTCATCACAGTCAAACCCAGGCTCTCTGCAATCCCGCCATCAATCCACAGTGATGTTTTTGGCTATACCTCCTGCCCCTGGAAATGATTTCCCGTCACTCCTGAGGCAGATACCCATGTGCCTCCTTCTCTTCCCTGCACACTTTCCCTTCTGTGCATAACTGCCCTTAGAAGGGCCAGAAAATGCATTTAGGGTCCATTTGCTCTTTCAGCAAAGTTGTCTGAGTACCTACTATGCATAAGACCAGATTCCTTACCTTCAGGATCTATATAACCTAGGAGGAGAGGTGAGGAAAAAAAAAAACCACAACTCATAAAAAGATCAGCAAAAGCGCCTCTTATGAGAGAGGCAGAGGAAGACAGGATACTGATGAGTCTTAATCTGTATATTCACTCTGGGTCATCATGTCTGACCACCAAGGACCAGTGAGAAACAGTGAAAAGTACTTTGGGTAGGATGATCGGGGCCCAGGAGACTTGAAGACTCTCAAAGGCAATATAAAGATGAATCAGTTGTGGCTCTGATCTGTGGCCCCAGAACTCACCTTCAGCTAGAAGTAAGTGAAAGAACATTGAAAGATCCAGGTTTCCTTTCCGACTGATGAGCGAAATCAGATTCCTGAGAAAGGCCCCCTCTAATTTTGAGGTTCCCTTTGGCAATGAGCCCTCTTAATTGCTCTAGAATTCACATGATTATTTAAAGCAAAAAACATAACATGATCTTGTAGGTTTTATAATGTATGTAGATGTAATACATATGATAACTATAGCATAAAGGATGGGGGTAGGGGGCAATGGTTTCTGCATTTTACTTGAAATAGTAACTAAGGGGACTGTGAAAAGTTACCGATGTGTTGTAATCCCTGGGGCAACCATTTCAAAATTAATATAAAGAGGTATAATTACAAATCCAATAGATAGATTTAAATGGCATTCAGGCTGGGCGCAGTGGCTCATGCCTGTAATCCCAGCACTTTGGGAGGCCGAGGTGAGTAGATCACCTGAGGTCAGGAATTCAAGACCAGCCTGGCCAACATGGTGAAACCCCGTCTCTACTAAAAATACAAAAAAATTGCTGGGCCTGGTGGTGTGTGCCTATAATTCCAGCTATTCTGGAGCCTGAGGCAGGAGAATTGCTTGAACACGAGAGTGAGCCAAGAGATCGTGCCATTGCAATCCAGCCTGGGCAACAAGAGCGAGACTCTGTCTCAAAAATAATACTAATAAATTTAAAAAATAAAAATAAAAAATAAATGGCATTCCAAAAAATCTTAAAAAAAAAAGAGGCAGGAAGGAGGAACAGAGAAATAAAAAACAGAGGGGGAAAATAAAATGAAATTCAACCATATCAATAATTACATTAAATGTTAATGGACTAAACATTCCAGTTGAAAGGCAGAGATTGTTGGAATAGTTTTTTTTTTTAAACCTATTTGCAGTCTACAAGAGATGAATTTTAAATATAAAGATACAAGATGAAAACAAATGGATGGAAAATTATATACATTCAAAAGCTGGTGAGGCTGCATTAATATCAGATAAAATAGACTTTGAGACAAAGGGTATTACCAGAGAAAAAGAAGGATATTTATTATGGTGAAAGGGTAATTCATTAGGAAGGGAAAACAATCATAACCATGTATGTAACTATTAACTCTGCTTCAAAGACATGAAACAAAAATTGGCAGAATTAAAGGAAGAAACAGACAATACCATGATCAAAGTTGGAGATTCCATCAGTAAGGGTGAAGTCTGATTTCACCTTCAGGACATACCGGTTTGGGAGGCCATTCCTTAGGCCAGGGCTGGGCTATGGGCTGTGGGACGTGGGCTGTGGGCTGTGGGCTGTGTTAAGACACTTCAGGGAGGAAGCCAGTAGGGAGTCAGGCAGGCAGTTTAGTGACAAAGACTGGAAAGATTCTTTGAGGCTGAGACACTGATGGTCTCAGGTGATTTTTATGGAGAGCCTCAGGCCCCACTTGAGGTGAGGAGGCAATGGTTGAAGGCATTGAACCGTTTCTGAAGGGCATGGTGATAATGTCCATATGGCAATGATTACTTTTGTCAGCTGTTCCAGAACAGGACGCCAGGTAGTAGAATGGAAAGCAGCAGCAGAGGCCAAAAAAAGCTTTACCCACTTCATTATTAGCCACTCAGGGTTCCTTTATAAGAGACCTGATGAGTTGGGCTCAGGTGTCAAAGACCACAACAAGAGCTAACCTTACCCTTAATGGTCCCCTAGACTTGTCGGGGTCTGGAGAAACAAGAGGTAGCCCAGTGGTTCTCAAGCTTGAGCATGCATCAGGATCACCTGGAGGGCTTGTTCAAACCGGATTGTTGGGCCCCATGCCCAGAGTTTCTGATGCAGCCGGTCTGAGGTGGGATCTGATGCTGATGTTGCTGGTCCAGGGACACACTTTGAAAACCACTAAGAGGCCGGGCGCGGTGGCTCAAGCCTGTAATCCCAGCACTTTGGGAGGCCGAGATGGGCGGATCACGAGGTCAGGAGATCGAGACCATCCTGGCTAACACGGTGAAACCCTGTCTCTACTAAGAAATACAAAAAATAGCCGGGCGAGGTGGCAGCGCCTGTAGTCCCAGCTACTCGGGAGGCTGAGGCCGGAGAATGGCGTGAACCCGGGAGGCGGAGCTTGCAGTGAGCTGAGATCCGGCCACTGCACTCCAGCCTGGGCTACAGAGCGAGACTCCGTCTCAAAAAAAAAAAAAAAAAAAAAAAAAAGAAAACCACTAAGAAAAACAAAATGCCACAGGAGCCCAGAAGAGGGAGATGTCTTTTTTGGCACGCAGAAGCAGGGTAGAATGACATAGTTGGAGGTGAGGCTGAGGGGCATGTCAGGTACAGGAGGCAGCCCAGGAGGAAATGAGGGGGCTCATTTATGGGGCTGAACTGCAACATCCGTCTAAGGAACAGGGCAGAACAGGCTGGCAAGGTGGACCAGAACCCCAGTAAAACATGGGCTAGCTTAGAAATGAAGAGCATAGGCATGGGTTCAAATCCTGGTCTGCCTCTTATTAGCTGTGTGACCTAAGAGAGATGATCTAAACTCTCAGAGCCTCGGTTCCATAATCTGTAAACTGGGGCTAATGTTATACCCACTCTAAGGATCTTTAGTGAGGGAATGCAGCCTGGCACAGAGTAAGAGCTAGTAGGAGCCAGCACCAGGGTTGCTATGGAGCACTAGGCAGAGGGCACATGGCTGACAAAGCTGCAGTGCTGGCTCCTGTGGGTTGACGTGGAGCACATCAGGCCTGGGCTGGGACTGGGGCAACCAGCTAGACAGACAGTATTTTGTGAAACTCTTCCTGAGGACACTCAGGCTCTTGGCTCAGAGGTATAGGCCTCCTTCTCAAGGCCATTGCTTTCCTAAGTCAGGTTGCTCCCCGACCCTCCTCCCATCCTTCCTGAGCCCCTGCCAAACTCAAGGGGTGGCTGTGGAAGCTCCACCAGGACCAGGCAAGGA